CGACTCCAAAATGGAGAAAAACCCATCAATCAATTCTGGAAATACATAGGTAATGGGGAAACCCAGAATTGTAGTTGTGTTTGGGTTTGGGTTTGAAGATCAGCTTTAAAAACTGTTCATGAGACCATCTCAGACCTACACATTAATTAATGCACCAGTAACAGTCTCTGGTTCTAGGCTCAGATATTAATGTGAATTACAGTTCCATCATAATCATGCACTGAGGGGAGGGAATTAGAAATCAAGTGATATGCTAAGCGACCTGCATTCTTTGTAATAGTTACACCTCTGGAGGTATAACTCTAGAACCTCCAGGAGGACCATTTTCGTATCATGAACACTTTTTTATTATCTTTGTAAACACTGCAAAAGGAACTGAAATTCCTGTATAAAGAACACTTACGATTTAGACTGATGGCTATTAGATGCTTTTGAAGAAGGATTGTATCTTTCTGAAGGAAAAAAGAAAATAAGTGCTTGAAGTCTAATTATACAACATGTAGAATAAAAAAAATACCTGGCGAAAACAATGGGTCGGACAGGGACTACATTGTCAGACACAGTGCAAGCCGGTGTTATCTACCACTGTCCTGTCAATGCACCTGAGTCCTGATGCCATAGCCTTTTCTTTATTCCTGACTCAACACCCCAAGCAGTACAATTCAGCATTGTTGAATCACCAATTAATTATGCACTAGATCTACTACTACAGTTCTCTTCTTTAATAACTAGGATACGGTTAATCAGGTTTCTTTTAACATGAATGGAAGAGCTAGCAGTAAAAGAAGACCAAAATAATCTACACAATACACAGTCTACAAAATGGTGCAATGGTGACGTCTTGTTTATTTTAAAAGCATAGATGAATTCTACACTTAAGAGAAGCTGTTGCAGACAAAATACTTTTTATCTCATTCAATGCCATGCATCCAGTAGTACTAGAAACTTCACAGCAGCCTCATTATCACCTCAGCAGCTATCTAAGCAAGGAGCCAGTTGTTCTCCAAGACAAGAAGTAACATGCAGCTCTACAAACATGCCTCATTCTTGCAAGCTGGCTAGAATGTATCAGGAATGATTTTTTAAAAAATCAGTACTAAAATCAACAGAACTTGTTTTGAATTCTATTTCTTTCTCAGCTGGAGTTATGTTAACACTTTTTGTTCTGTTAAAAGATGCACTGGGTAGATTGTAGATACTGTGGGTCTGACAAATTATGAAGAAACTGGAAAATGCTAGTAATTCACTAGGCACCACAGCTATTATGTTGCTATCAGCAACTGTATTACCATTCCCAAAAGGGCTCTAAGTGGATGTGAACAACTGTCATTAGACCATGCCAACACAGTGGTGGTGGGAGGCGGTTGTTGCTAGCAGCAGACTGTACGCTAGGCCCTAAGCGGGTGCACAAAAAATGCTGTTGGATGCTGTTTTGTCCTTCTAAAAGGCACAGAAGGGGGAAACCAGATCACCGGTTGCCACCATGCCACAGGACCAATCAGGACTGGGTCCTCGCAACAATTTTTAAACAGCTAAATTTCCCTCTAAAATGGCATCAACAGCCATGGGTTGGAGCTGTGTCCGCTGTGACATGTACTTTGGCTTACAGTTATCTGGCTTAAAGAAGGTATATTCCAATGCTATAAATTAAATGGAGTAGTCAGCTTCATGCAGGGTTTCAAAGAACCAACAACAGTCTCTGTATAAAGACGGGAAGTATTTTGAGGACAGATAAGAATGAGCAGTGCCTGCTTTCAATTATATCCTAGTAAGTGATATATAAATAGATTATAAGTAGTGCAACAGTTTTGCGGCTTATTCTTCTTACCTACAGATATTAATTCATTCTCCATGTATGTTAAAGAGCTAATATAAATTTATAAAACAATAATATAAAGACAGCAACCACTAAGAAGTTTTAGAAGTACTCTTCAATAAGCGATTTCTTAGCAATTTGCATAAAAACTTGTACTAATCAAAAAACCAAAAACAAGATAGAGATTAGGGTCTTTAACTGGCCAAGGATCAGCATCAAAGAATATCACTAGTAAACATTTATTCAGATGGATAAAGCCTCATATAACAAAACTATTCTGAATGAAAATCCTAAAACAGCAATAGATTATAAAAAGAATTTACATAAACAACTAACTTACTTTGTTCTCCAGTGCCAAAATTAGACTGCTGAGTTTCCTGGAAAAATACCAAAAGTTACTTGTCTCTTAAAGGTAAAAAAAAGTATTAGGAGAATAAAACTTCAGGCATGTTTGCCTTTGATTATTTAATTTTATTGAAGTCTATAGCTGGAAAGCTGCAAAAATGCAACAGCTACTTTTTAAATATTTGATTCAAGCCTATCTGAATCTATTCCAAAATTAAGAGGATCTGTAAACTTAAACAGTTTACAGTTTACAGTTTAATTTTTTTTTCTTATGGCCTTGTTTCAGATTTCACTTTCCTGGTTCCAAATAATTTTAAGAATGGTTTCATTGATTGTTTATTAGCTGTCTCAGAAACCATATAACTAGGAAGCAGAGGATACATATCAGAAATAAATCACTGTCAATCACTCCACATCAAGAGGCACATGGAACTAGGTTTTATAAAGGATTAAGCACACATTCATATATAAATAAATACAGTTGCATAAGTTCAGTCACTTCATGAAAAATGAAAAAGGGGCACTGTTAAAAACTAGGGGCGAAAGATCAAGATGGGTAGCCATGTTAGTCTGTCTGTGGTAGTAGAAAAGAGTAAGAGTTGAGAGAAAAGGTTTAGAATGAAAACTATAAACAATCCAATGTATGTTAATATGTATAGAAAGTCCCTTAAGTATTCAACTTATTGTAAACAAGAAGAACCAAATTAAAGTTGCTTTGCAATTATGTCCAGAAAGTTACTAGCCCACAAAAGTCTGCCCTGCCTTCTAATACATTAGCCAATTATAGGACATGAACCTTGATGGGATGCATGTGTGCACACAATAAGCATACAAACTATAAATACTTCCCAGCTTGGAGGCAATTCTTACTTACCACAAGTAAGCAGCTACTGACAAGCCTGACCAGCCAACAGTTAGAGTTCAACTCATGCTTAATTATGTAGAACTATGAACACAAAACTTTCTTATGCACTTATTAAGATGGAGTTAAAGGACTAACACAAAATAATAAAACTGAGCCACTGTAACTAGTAACCAGGTATGATTATTTTGTGAAACTCACTGCCACTCGAACTTTATGCAGCTTTATTAAAATTAAGAAAACTGAGTCCATAATGGGGGGGGGGTAGGAGAAATGGGACAAATGGACAACATATATAACACATTTATGAAACTGACATAAATTTTTGCCCAAAGTAATACAAAAAAGGGCCAAGAAAAGTGCAAAGCTATCATTTGTTCTCTTGGGAAGAAGTTAGAGCTGGATCCAGACAACAATTTCCACTAACAGAAGGCACTACCTTTAGCAAAACAAAACTTCCCTGTCTCCTACTGCAGCTCACTGATCTCCCCGAAATGCCAATCCTGTAGGACAGGAGGAGACACCCAGAAACAACATGAGGGGCAAACAGGAGGTTTGTAGCAGGGAGACAGGAAATCAGCACAAATTAATATCTTGTTCTCTCTGAGCAAGTCATCAAAAACTTTTTGGAAAAACCAAAAAATGGGTTGTATCAACAAAATTAATGCTTTTGCACCCAATAAAATCACTATTAAATTAAACATCTACTATGATATGGGAATCTGAACTAAATGGAAATGGAAATAGAATTCTCCTCAGCAAAGCGATTTTAATGTAATTGCACATTACAGATATGCTACACTGCTAGTAATTTTAAACATCTATACACTGCAAGCCTACAAAGAAGATCCAGTAAGTTATCCCTGTGCTAAGCAGAAGACAGCGTATACCTCGGGGGGGGGAAATAACAATCAGCTCAGCCACCCGCTCATTCTAAATTGCTGTTTATAAATCTCACAAAGCAACTCCTGCTCATTCATTGTTGGACTGGCTGCACAAGATTTTAAGATGTTTAAGAGAACACAAGGTCCTAAGTACGGAAACAGCAAAGCTGAAGCTTCCTGACAGGAAGAAAATTTGAACAATTTATGACCTCATGTTCTCAATGCAAGAAGTAATTCCACATTTTTGTAAAAATAATTTTTTGGGGGACTGACCAGCCATCAAAGAGCAGGGCAAGAATTCAAGTTCACAATAAAAGTAAACAGGATTGAGGGGCGAGCTAGAACAGACTTTAGAAACACAAAAGAAGTTAATGCCAATACAAACAAAAATAGTACAATTCTGAAATTATGAAAGTTGTGGTAATACATTATCATTAAACTCTCAGCTACAGTTTTAACATTGACTGTGCTGTCTACTGACCTTGGTTGGGAATGGAAATTTTGAAGGTTCAGTTTTGCAAGGCGTGTGAATAGCTGTCAATGGAGGTGGCCAAATATGGGTCATCTCCTATGGTCACACAAAGCCGAAAACAATTATACACCTAACAGGCAGACTTCATATTTGAATATACTCAATAAGAAAGCTGTCTGTGATCTCACTCACCATCACTGTTAGCTGAGAGAATTAAAACTAATAATTATCAGCATACTAAGTTTTATAAACAGCAAACTATAAATTCTTTAAATTCAATCCACAAGCAAAACAGAAGAATGAAAAGCCATCAAGTTGCTATGTTAACAAAGCTAAAACTTTGAAATGATGTTCTTAAATATTTATAAAATGTTAAGAGTTTGACAGTGCATGGTCAAATTATTTTGAATCAACTATGTCACCACCACCCTACGCACTTACTAAGAAATTACTGGGAGACAGAAAAACAACTTACTTTCAGAATTTCATCCACACTGCTCATGTCACCAGATGCTGATGCCTATAAATCAAGGTTCAGAATTAGCTGTTTTATTTGCACTGTCATGCTGGTTTGAGGTTCAAATTCAGGATTTTCCATCTAAAGCTAGTGCCCAAAGACACTGTATTAAGGTACAAGGAGCAGAATGACTTACAGTGGAATCTTAAGAACATTCTTCCAGGAGTAAGCCCCATTGATCTGAGTAGGACTCAGTAGACTTACTTTGGATTGCTCCCTTAGAAACACAAAGAAACCATGGTACACTATTGCACTGAAACTTTTCAGCTCCACCCTTCTAGCAGTAGTCCCTGGTAATTCACTCCAATAAACCTCTCTACACAGTGAGCAGCAAACAGAAGTATTTTTCCATCTGCAGGGCAGTGGATCTGGATCCTGCCCTTAGAGTAACAGCTGTCGTATCACAAAACTATCATAATGAAATATCACAGCATATTTTCAATTACTCTCCATCTGGAGAAATTCGAAGTGTACATACTTTTCTTACAAATGAAACTTGAAACACACTACCCCATTTTAAAATTCTGAAGTTACTGCATTTTTAAAAGATTAATTCTTTCTTTTCAATAATGGAATTCATTGGCTGTCCTTGTATAAAGTGAGACATGATTTTCTATGTTTCTCTTTCTTAAATCATACTACACCACAGATGCAAAATGTGATATCCTGACACATATGGCCCAAGTTCTCACTTGTATACACTGCTTTTTCTTTTTAATTAGCACAGTTTTTGTGTCCAGGAGGCATATGTAATTTTGTGCAAGTGAGGGCTTGTGTGGCCTGATAAGCACTTAGATAACATTTGGTTTTAAAATAATATTAATCATGGCAGACTTGACGATCTTAATACCAAAAACCATGCACATGGGAAACAGTTACACACTGGAGCATTTATTCCATAGTAACATATACTTCCTTACTCCAGAAGGTGATTTCAACAGAAGTCTCCTGTCGGTCCCAACCCACCCACCCCCAGTATATTTTACCTGTGGAATAATTGAAGTTCCGTTTCAGGATACACTGAGCATGTTATGAAACTATTAAAAAGACAACTTACATCAAGAGGCTGAGAGGGAATTTTCAGCTTTGTTAAATGTGCTTTGCTACTAGGTTTCAGTTCATTCATATTGTTGCTGTGAGTCTGGCTACTGTAGTGTTCAGAAGAAAGCTTTGGTTCCATGGACTCCTGACCATCCATGGGCCTTACATAGGCAGTGGGCTTCTGCAACATTGTGTTAGACTTAGACATAAGTGAAGGAGGGAAAGACTGGCTAGAATGCTGGCCACTAGAAAATGAAGGTACACGGGATGGCGAGTCCCAGTTGGCGTCTGGGTCTCGTGGAGATTTAGAACGTTGATGCTCCTTGCTGTGGTGATCATTTCCATGAGATCTGGAATGGCTGGGGTTCACAGAAGAAACAGTAGATGGTTTGCCAGGGCTGGAAGAACGAGACTTTGAGTGTTCTGATCCATGCTGGGTTTTTTTTCGGCTACTGGTGCTCCCACTACCACTATATGAATCACGGTCATGTCTCTGCCCACTACTGCTAGTGCTACTGCCACTGTTGCGCTGGCTGCCATGTCCACTCTGTAAACCTGAAGAACGCTTCTGTGACTGGGAAGAAGTGCTAGGCGCTGGACCTACAGGCGTCCATTTGCTGCTCTGATGAGAGCCAGTACTATGTCTCTGTTCACCAAAAAAATTTTGGGTTGATTTTTCATCTGTTGTTGATGGTACTGTTGGTTTGGGAAACCCAACAAGCTTTTGGAGAGACCGGTCACCTATAAGATCATCCATTTCATCATAGTTTCCAAGCATGCTTTGGATACGGCTAGACAATTTATCTTCTTTGCTGGTCTGTGTAAGTAATAAAAACCACAATGCAAAGGCACATTAAAATACATTAATAAATAAAATATATAAATAAATTATACAACTCAGCTTTAAGGCAGATAAATTTCTGAATGCTAATTATTTACATATTTTTCTAATCACTTAGTTGTTCTTTACTTAACTTAATTCAGCAACCATTGCACTCATCCATAATGGAGATCTATATTGGCTAATTGATGGTTTCATTAGAATTCATGTCACCATTAAAACACTTACAAGAAAATGAAACTGTATAGTTTCATTGATTAACTTGTACCAAAGACTGAGGCTGAATTACAAATTAATCAATGGGCAGTCAACAAAGATTCTGGAACTTAAGGGTGATACTTTCCCCTATATTATTTAACACCTACATGTGTCCCCTTGCCCAGATTGCCCAGAGGCATGGGCTGGGTTGTCACCAGTATGCAGATGACATCCAGCTCTATCTACTGTTGGGTGGCCAGTCTAACTCCAGACCGGAAGATCTGGACCTGGGGCTACAAGCCGTGGTTGGTTGGCTTAGACTGAGCCGATTGAAACGGAATCCAATGAAGACGGAGGTCCTGAGCCTAAGTCGAGGCAGTCCGGAGTTAGGGATACCACTCCTGACCTTCAATGGGGTACCGTTGGTGCCAGCGCCGGAGGATAGGAGTTTGGGAGTACACCTACCTTTTCCTTGCACCATATTTTAACAAAAAGAAACTGAGCCATTTTTCATATAAAGTTAAACCACTATGCCTTGCCTTCTAACAGTAAAAATCTTAGTCATGGAATCCGTCAGTGTCCAGCTGAAACTAATGTCAATTCTTCATTGTGTGAGTCTTATGTAATAATGAAAGCATGTATTTGCTTATGTGTATGCACTGAAATGTATTTTTTATTATTATGATTATAATTAGGGATGGGCACAAACCGGCTGACACAGAGAGTACTCTGTCTTTCTGTGTTATACCTCTGAGGATGCCAGTCACAGCTACTGGTGAAACATCAGGTCCTACAATGCCAAGACCACGGCCATACAAGCCAGAAAATCTACAACAGCTAGTGAACAAAAGTTCATTATGAATTTTGACCAGTTTGTGGTTTGTGAGGTGAACTTAAGAACAGCCACATACTTCCATGAATTTTGATGCAGTTCATGGCAGTTGGTGAAGAGAAAAAAGCAGGAGTTTACCCCTGCTTTCTGCTCTTCACAAAAAGCAGATGTTTGGAAACCCCTGCTTTCTGCTCCCCACGAAAAGCTGCAGGGAGAAGAAAGTAGTGTTTAAATGGCTTGGAGCCACTTAAACTAAACAGCTCAGCAGTGGTCCCTGCTGCTCAGCTGTTAGGAAACCCCTGCTTTCTGCTGCCTGCGAAAAGCCAGAGGGAGCAGAAAGCAAGTGTTTAAACTTTAAATGGCTCATGAACCAATGCGAAACAGTGTATCAGTTTGTGGTTCAGTCATGAACCAAACAGCAAAAATGTGATTCGTGCCCATCCCTAATTATAATGCCAAATATTCCATATTACACTCATGATACTATTTTATAGCAATAATGTGTTGCTTATTAAATTTTTTAACATGCTCAAACCTAGATGAAGTAAAGTCTTCTCTTTTGATGTCACAATTTTAAAAACTACAAGCAGTAGCTATGTCTTACATAGCTATGTCTTACATAGCTATAGCATTTTATATTCAAGAAACAATAAAAACTGATTATATTCATCATTCCAGTAATGTACAAGTAAGGATAAATTTTCTTTTAAAAAAACAACCAGACTGAATCTCTGTCTTTGCTGAATAAAAAGGCCAAGTGACAGTCTGACACACTCAGGACACTCTGTCTGAATACACATGTGGCCCACTGGGATAGATTACAGTAATAGGCCCAGGGATCCCAGGTTCTAGATCCCCACTCGACCATAAAGCTCACCGACTTAAGTCAGTCATATTACTGTAATGAGGCTAAAGTGGGGAAGATGGATAACCATATCTACCACCCTGTGCCCCTTCAATGCATATCAGGACATGATGGAATAATAGTAATAGCAGTGTATTTCCACAGATACTCAAGATTCCTGTGTTAAAATCTTTAAGCCATGTCATGTTCACTTTCAGAGTCCCGGGATTAAAATGAAAAAAAGGCTGCTTTCTGCCACGCTACATTTTATTCACTTCGAAGACTCTGAAGGTCTGCATATCAGAAGCAACGGTGTGAGAACTTCTGCCTTCGAATACACATTAGAGCCTTAAAATAGCAAAGGCCTAATACCAAAATGAAACTTAAAGTATCATTCAAAGAAAGAAACACAGCAATTTCTTACATTGTAGGTACCCTAATGCTCATAGAAGAGTTTATTCTTTGAAAACTATTTAAGTTCCAAGAAACTGTTATACATATGTAGTCCTGTCTAATTTGGATGTTTGTGGGTAGTTTTTGACTTTACTCCTCTTAGTCTGACACTTCATCTACCTCTTTCCATCTTATCTTGTACTTCTTCAGTTTTCAAAACACAAGACTGAAAAAGGAGTTGATTTTTTAAAATCCTTTTGTCTAGCTTCTGCATTCCCCTTCATCTCCTTTGATTACTTTCAAAAGGTTGAGTGAAGCAAATAAAATTCAAGAATTATTCTTTCCAGTGACTGTTTACTGAAATAACATCATTTCTCATTGGACAGAGAAAAAAAGGAAAGCCAGCCCTAAATTGTTTTGACCTTCATCAATAGGGCACATCTGCAAGCTGTGTTTGGACAAATGCTAGGACAGTTGTTCCAAATATCTGACACAGCCTTTTAAAAGGGGCAAAGAGGAAGGATCCTAGATGGGAAGTCACCTCGGTGCATTCTCTTTCCTTTTCTCTCCCATGGATGCACCTCTTTCCCCCACCTTACCAAAACTCAGAAGAACAGAGATGTAAGTGAGCCATTACAATGGAAAATCTCATTTTGTGGCCATCTAGGTGGCCATCTAGGTGGCCATCTGGGGCTTTAGGTCCCCACTGGACTGCTGGGGTACAGTACGAGCTGGCAAACGACAAAGCTGAGAATGGTGCAGGTGATTTGTATCATAGCATAGCTAAAATGAATACGTACATAGGTTCATTTTAGCCACGCTGCTAGTAAAAGTAAAAAGTTTATCAATCCATCCTAAAACATTCAGTCTGTCCCTTATACATAACTGGTCGTCATGCCTATTAATACATGTCCCAAAATAATTGTTTCATGCTTTGTAGTATAGAAAGTTCAGAACAATTAGCTGTCTAAGTACTGTACTATGAAGCACATACAAAAGGGGGGGGGGAGTATCCAAGGTGGAACAGTACCTATGGTGTCAGTGGGATAAGAGTGAGATATAAAACAGATGCATAAATGCATAAATCCAAGTTAAATCTCCGATTCTATGGTACTCAAGATGCATCTTTAGTGAATGAAACAGGCAAGATGGTTCCAAGTTGCATAATCTTCGGTCCCTGACCTTTGAACTGTCTGATACCAGAAACAGAGGAGTCTGTACTTTAAAAATCCCAGGTCCAACCATTTTCTGTAACCCAGTCTGCTGACTGCTTATAGCTTGGTTTCAATTTTACTTATGACTACTACAATTAGACAATGCAGGATTTCATTATCAATCACAATACGTCTTAAAAAAAAAAAAAAGGAACCAGACACTACAATGTCAAGCCCTAACAATTACCTGTCTTCTATGGAATACAAACTCCATGAAATGAGAAATGTTATATCTTGAATCACTCTTTTGCCACAAAGCAAAACCTCAGTATAACAATAATCTCTGCAAATAAATTTCTATTCAGAGTTATTGTTCTATACGAACACTCTGCATATATACTGTTAGTAGCTAACCAGTTTCACGTGCAGATTATATGGGTATTAGGGTACTACTTACAGAAAATAGAACTTCAATATTTTCTTTTTTAAAAGAGTGTTGATTTGATGAATCCAAAACCTGTATTAATCCCACAACAGTCATAAAATTCTAGCAAATCTTTTATCTCCAGTTATGTTAAAAACACTTCAAACCATATAATAACATTTCTGACATCATCAAGAGTAAAAAATCTTAACCCCTCTCACTCTCAAGCCACTTACGAACACCACGTTACATTAGAGAACTGTTATTCATATAAAGGCTTGGAAGTCTTCTGTAAAACATTTTCCAGAAAACATTAAGAAAATTTTCTTAAATGCAAACCTGCTAGAGACAAATCTTTTAAAAATCCTTAAACCATTTTTTAATCTGACATAAAAACTCATTTGAAAAACCACATGTACTTACAACTTTGTATGGTTCAGCAAAGAGAGGAGAGTTAGGTGGAAAGGCTTCTTCACCCTGTTGAATTTCTTGATTACGTCTCTCTCTCTCTTTAATACGCAGCGCATTCCGGTCTTCACGGTTCATGTTGCTATGATCAAAAATAATTTGATTACATAAAATGAGATACCATGAAGGTAAGCTACAAATATTTCCCCCCTAGACACTATACAAAGCCTCTTAAGAATCCCACCTTCCCTTTAAAGACACTCTAATGAGCTTTCTGGTGCCTGTATACGAAAGCTTTCTGGTACACTGGTGCCTGTATACGAAAAGCTAGATGCCATTTACAACACTGGTAATACTTACACAAGTACTTCAAACATTCTCCTAGATCATTTACCTGCATATTTGGAACAAGCTGATAGAAAATATAACTAAGACGCATTCTTCATAATTAAAAACATCAAATTCTGCCTTCTCCTGGCACCAGTTATCACATTCAGACTACATCCTACTTCAAACATTCGCCTAGATAATTTTACCTGCATACACTAAAGAATACACAATGATCTCTAAAATAACCATCACAGAGAAAATCTGAATTGTTTTCAATGTGCTTGCTAAAGCATTCTTGCGAAATACTTATTCTCAATAAAATGCTTTTTTCAACCATTTGTCAGCTACGCTGCCATTAGGTTTATGGGTTCCAGTTCACTCGCTTGACCTGCGTACCAGCCAGGCCCGCATTCCATTCCCCTTGGCGCCTCTGCTCCTTATCTCTGACCTTGTAGCTTGCTCCCTCATGTAGTGTCTTCCCATATTTCAACCGTGGGACCACTTTCGCTTCTTCGCCAACCCACCAACGGGAGAGTGCCTAATTGGCCTGTCGATGGGGGGCCCCTTTTGAGTATACTATATCTAACCCTGTAGGCTTAATATTAGTTATACTTAACAGTGAATATGTTTATGTTACCATAGTTCTCACAATAAAGTAAAACCTTCTTGGAAGTGTGTGCTAAGTGATTGACTGTGGGTCCTGACACCATTTTTCAACCATTTCAAATACTTATTCTCAATAAAATACTTTTTTCAATAATTAATTTCTCTAAAATATAATTTTATCATCCGGTACGTAGATGATACCTTTATCATTTGGAGCCATCAAGAAGTACAATTGATGGAGTTTTTAGACCACCTCAGCAACATCCACCTGAACATACAATTCACCATGGAAAAAGAATTTGAAGGTAAACTCCTATTTCTAGGTATGGTCATCTGCAAAGCTAACCTTCAATTAGATCACAAGGTCTGCAGAAAACCAGCTCACACAGATCATTATTTACACATAAAACTCCAATCACCACCCTGGGCAAAAAAGAGGCATAATCTAAACATTAGCAGACCACACAAGACAGACATGTGAACCGCACTCTCTAAATGATGAACTAAATCATCTAAACCACTCACTTCAAGCAAATGGCTACTCCAAGAATGAAATCAGAAGAGCAATTAAACCAAAGGTAAAACAAACAAGTGAGGAAAAACAGTCTCCCACAGGAAAAGTGTTTTTGCCATGTATCAAAGGAATCGCTGATCAGATGGGAAAACGTATGAAAAAACACAACCTACAAACAGTATTCAGACCCACCAGAATAATACAACAGATGCTACGATTGGCAAAAGACAGAAGAGACCCCCTCACGTCTGCAGGAGTATACCGCATCCCATGCAGTTGTGGACAGGTTTACATCGGGACCACACAGCGTAGCATTCAGACAAGAATAAAAGAACATAAAAGACACTGCAGACTGGGCCAGCCTGAAAAATTAGCAGTGGCTGAACAACACATTCAATTACCATGTCGGATTACACAGGGAAGCCACTGAAATTCATAAACATAAACCCAATTTCAACAGGAAAAAAGAGAGTTTAAAAATAAATAGGGCATGGTTTCCTGTCCTGAAAAACACAAAATGCTCTAGATCTTACAATAGCACTACAGATAAGATTAGAATTTCAACAGCCAATCCATATGCAAAAGAACCTGGGGAACTCCTACAAGATAATGACTCAGCCCTACCCTAGTTCCTGAGTAGATATAAATTACCTGCCTACCATTTTTCTTCTCACCTTGACACAGAGAGTACTCCATCTTTCTGTGTTATACGTCTGAGGATGCCAATTACAGCTGCTGGCGAAACGTCAGGTCCTACAATGCCAAGACCACAGCCATACAGCCCAGAAAATCTACAACAACTAATGAACTCCGGCCATGAAAGCCTTTGACAACATAGTTCTTTTTCCTTTGATACAGCAAGTATTGAAAACCTTAGTGCAGGGCTGTCAAACATGTGGATCTGGCCCCTGCCGGGCTGGTATCTGGACCATGATCAACTGGCTCTCTCCTGCTTCCTATTCCTGGTTGCTACGGCTGCTGCATTGCCAAGCCTCTCTTCCTCCTTTAGGGAGGAAGTGAGGAGCAAGGAAAAAGAGAGCACACACGTGCGCACCAGAAAAAAAAGCTCCTTTTGCTTCTCCTGTGCCTATCTGGGATTTTATTTTCTTTCAAAAAGACCCTGATTAGGTATTACAACACTTGGATTGGATTTCATGGTTTAATGACTGGAAGTAGATGGCTAAGTATTTAAAAATACATTTATGGTTCCATATATTCCAGTTCAACAGTAGTCTCCCTCTCTCCCCTCCCACCTCACTGGCTGTCTTTCTTCACATTAACCCCCCACACACACACACACACTGCCTTTTAAACTTTTTATTATTATCATTAGCAGTGAGTAGATTTTGTCTAGTCTGGAAGCAACACATTATTTCACTTGGAGAGGTCCCCCTTTCCAGTTCTAAAACTGGAAAAAATATATAGAAGAAATCTAACAGCACAGCTTGCAATCTTTATTAGTGGAAGAGAGCATGAGTCCAGAAGCACCTTAATGACTAACAAAATTTGTGGCAGGGCATGAGTTTTTATAAGTCACTGCTCACTTCTTCAGATACAGCTAGAATGTGAATCTATCTGTACTTCTATCTTGGAGAGTGACGTGATTTCAGATGCCAAATAACAATAGCGGTCATTAGTAATGAGAGAAGAAACCTAGGTCTTAGTTCAGCCCAGGAGGATGCACTGAGCTTCATTATCAGTTGCAATTCAGCAGTCTCTCTTTCTAATCTCACTTTATGGTATTATATATGTTTTAATTTGCCTTGGTGGCCCTTATGAGAGCAAAAAGGCAGGGTAGAAATTTTCTAAAAGAAACAGGTAAGCAAATATATTGTCAGCCCCTAATAAGAACAAAGAGGATGGCATCTGGCATCTCTACAACATTCCCTTGCCTTACACAGAGATGGGGTCTTTAAAGTGTAATGTCCAAATAAAAAAAGTAATTGTACTTTCTTGAACTTTGCAGAGAGGAGAATATGTATTTTGACTAGTTGGAATTTGCCAACTGCTACTAACAACTGCTTGATAACAGAAAATAAAGGGCTCCTTCACAAAATGCATGTGACAAACGACTTAGAATAAAGTATTTCTCCATGCCACATGCTGATCCTTTTGTAAGCTGGACAGAGAGCTCTCCAATGTTCAACTCTTAACTGTATCTTATTCAAGACATGTAACTATCTGCTATTGGTTCAAAAAATCCAATTGTACACAAGGGATGTGCATTTGGGTCTAACTGAGCCAAAAATCTACCCCAAAAATACCTTACTGGTATTCTTCATGTAGATTTCGGCATCCCAAATGTATCTGGGATTTCTTGGGGAACCAAAAAAAGATTTCCCCCCAAATCCCGGATATATTTGGGAATTACCCGGCAAATCTGAAAACAGCAGAGAGGCCAGAGAAGACTGTTCTGCCCCCTCAGCTGTTTGCTGAGCCTCTTTGCCGTCCCTTTAAAGTTTAAAAGTATTGCAGAAGACAGCTATGCTGATGGGGAGCAGACTGTTCCTGCCGGCATGGCTTGGGGCTGGCTTCTCGTGTAGCCCAGTTTAAACCAGGCTGCAGAAGAAGCCAGCCCCAGGATCTGCTGTGCAGCCAGGAAGCCAGAATCTTCTGTGCCACATGGAGCAATGTGCTCCATGCGGCACACCAGCTCCTGGGGCTCACTTCTCCTACAGTCAGGTTTAAACTGAACTGCAGAAGAAGTGAGCCCAGCCAGGATCTTTTATGCTGCCGGGATCAATGTTTTCCATGCGGCACAGCAACTCCTGGGCTCGCTTCTCCTGCAACCTGGTTTAAACCAGACTGCAGGAGAAGTGAGTCCAACCAGGATCGGCTGTGCCCATGGGGAGTAGATTGTTCCCTGGCAGCTCAGCTTTGTGCTGGCTTTAAAAAATAATAAGAATCAGTATTTTTCTTCTTGGGTTTATTGGACCCCTCAAAATTCAAGATTTCTGAAAAATCCCAGATCCGAATACCATACTAGAATTGGGATCCAGGATTTTTCTGAAACCCTTAAATTTTTTGGGTCTAATAGACCCGAATCAGAAAATACCAGTTAAATTTTTTTTGCACACCCCTATTGTACACAGGGGGCCACGGTTGCTCAGAGGTTAAGATGCTGAGCTGCAGACTCCCGTCTCTGGCCCTAGATCCTGCCAACCTAGCAGTTCAAAAGCAAGAAATTGCAAGTAGATAAATAGGTACCGCTTCAGTGGGAAGGTAACAGCGTTCCAAGTGCCTTGGCATTTAGTCATGCTGGCCAGATGACCATGGAAACGTCTTTGGACAATGCTGGCTCTTCGGCTTGGAAATGGAGATGAGCACTAGAGTCGGATTCGACTAGCTTTCGAGCAAGGGAAACCTTTACCTTTACTATTGTACACATAGCCTAGAACAAAATTACAAGCAACTTTCAAATCAGAGACTGCCACCAAAATGGTAACAGAATTCGGGGCTTCCGATAAACCACCTAAAAACTACCTACATGTTACTATGCATACTCAACAGGAAGTGGGAGAAAATTCACTCACTCCAACATTGGCCTTCAGTGTTCCTATCAAATACATTTTTACTTGAAACAAACCCAGAAGACAGACTTAGCGGGTTTTATTAACACTTGAGCAGACTAAATGACAATGGTTATTCACAAAACTAGAGGGTTTATGATAGAATCAAACTCTAAGCTGTAA